TCACTATTTGCAGATGATATGATAATATACATAGAGAACCCCAAAATCTCCACAGAAAAACTAATTCAACTCATCAATCAATTCAGTAAAGTGGCAGGATACAAAATCAACACGCAAAAGTCAGTAGCCTTCCTATACACAAACAATAAATCTGAAGAAGAAGAAATCAAAAAACCACCCCTTTTATTATCGAAACAAAAAAAATCAAATATTTGGGAATAAATCTAACAAAAGAGGTAAAGGACCTATACAAAGAAAACTATAAAACACTGTTAAAAGAAATAGAAGAAGACACAAAGAAATGGAAAGACATCCCCTGCTCATGGATTGGAAGAATAAACATTATTAAAATGGCCATCCTACCAAAAGCAATATACAGATTCAATGCTATTCCAATCAAAATCTCAATGGCATTCTTCAAAGAAATAGAACAATTATTGATGAAATTCATATGGAATCACCAAAAACCCCGAATAGCCAAAGCTCTACTGAAAAAAAAAGAAGGAAATGGAGGCATCACACTCCCAGACTTCAAACTATACTACAAAGCCATAATCATCAAAACTGCATGGTATTGGAACAAGAACAGACATACAGACCAATGGAATCGAATAGAAAATCCAGAAATAAACCCACAGATTTATGGTCAACTAATCTTTGACAAAGGAGCAAAGACTATGCATTGGAGCAAAGAAAGTTTGTTCAATAAATGGTGCTGGGAAAACTGGGTCACTACATGCAAAAGAATGAAGCTTGACCACTACCTCACACCATACACAAAAATCAACTCAAATGGATTAAAGAACTAGACATAAGACCTGAAACCATAAAATACATAGAAGGAAATATAGGCGAAACACTACGGGATTTGCACATCAAAGACATCTTTACAGACACATCACCCAAAGCAGTGATAGTGAAGAGAAAGATAAACAGCTGGGACTACATCAAATTAAAGAGCTTCTGCACAGCAAAAGAGACAATAACAAAAACAAAGAGAAACCCCACCAACTGGGAGAACATTTTTGCACCCAACACTAATGATAAAGGACTGATCACAAAAATCTGCAAAGAGCTGATGAGACTCAGCAACAACAAAGAATATAATCCAGTCAAAAAATGGGCAGAAGAGCTAAAAAGAAACTTCTCTGAAGAGGAAATGCAAATGGCCAACAGACATATGAAAAAATGTTCAACATCACTTGTAATCAGGGAAATGCAAATCAAAACTACCATGAGATACCATCTCACACCAGTGAGAATGGCACATATTAAAAAAACTAGCAACAACAAATGTTGGCGAGGATGTGGAGAAAAAGGAACTCTTGTGCACTGTTGGTGGGAGTGCAAACTGGTCCAACCACTATGGAGAGCTGTGTGGAGATTTCTGGACCTACTAAACATAGAGCTTCCATATGATCCAGCAATTCCACTCCTAGGTATTTACCCAAAGGACACAGAAACATCAATTCCAAAGAGCACCTGCACTCCTATGTTTATAGCAGCACTGTTTACAATAGCTAAGCTTTGGAAACAACCCAAATGCCCAAAAATAGATGACTGGATCAAGAAGATGTGGTACATATATACCATGGAATATTACTCAGCATTCAAAAAAGATAAACACATGCAATTTGCAGCAACATGGATGGCACTGGAAGGGATCATGCTCAGCGAAATAAGCCAAAAAGAAAAAGAAAAATACCGGATGGTCTCACTCATAGCAGGAATCTAGAAAACTTAAATAAGGGACCAGGAAAATGAATATAAGAAAGTGAAAATCAAAATCAACAAAAAACTATGAACCAGAGACACTTTTTGGGGGGTGGGGGGCGGGAGGGAAGGATTGGGGTCAGAATGGGGCGTTTGCAATTGTATGGGGGAATATAAAAATAAAATTTAATATTTAAAAAAAAAAATCCTGTCATTTATAAGGTTTAGTGCTGTCCTTTGTGCATTTTGAGACCATGGTACTGAAACAGATTTGCTAAACGTACTGATAAATGGCTACATTTTCTACAACATTCCCATTTAAATACAGAGATGCTGCTGTAACAAGTCATTTCTCATTGCAAGCTGTAAGGAAAGAATTTCTGTACTGGCTAAATTAAAGATAAAGTCCTGTTAGCAAACAGGAGTGAGCCATTCCTTTATAGATAGATCAGGTAAAATAAACAACAGCACAGCATTTAAAACCTATGTAGCTACTTCTCTTCCCAACCCATCCCATTATTCATAGCAAAGTCAGACATTTTTTTCCTCCTAAGCCACTACAACATATTATATTCCTCTCAACATTTCTTCAGACAGCTACCATCAATTAGCTAGATTTGCTTTATCATCATTAAGAGGAAATGAATTATAGATATTATAAAATCTTTTTTAAAGCACCGACTCCTTGAACCCAGCCATTTGTTACTGAGGTAAACAGTGATATTCTCTATTGAGATTTTCTATCCCCAAAGTACACAGTTTTGAATTAAACTAGATAAAAAGTCCTTCTAGTCTTGCATCTTTCCCCTGGAACTGCCAAATAATTATAGCTATTGGGATGATAATGATAATATCTGGAGATGACCAAGCCCAAATATTAGGGTAGGACTTAATTCCTAAAAGGAACCACCAAGCCTTGTAAGGACCCAAGGAGTCAATGCATCCTGAGAAGAAACCCTAGAAATAGAAAAGAATTTTTAGCTCAGCACAATACCATACAAAATTAGTTCCAGAAATGGGTCAAAAAGAAACCAAGTACATCTGCAAATATATATATATATATATATATATTATATTTTTTGCTTCAGACTACTGGAACTTTTCATTTGAATTTATCTTAGTCACTGGATGATGGAGGAGTGGCAATAATGTTAGGTAATAGATCCTGGAATATTGTATAGAACTTTCTCCCTTTTATGTAATACTGCTTTTCATTAATAGACTGACATTCCAAAATCACTTCTTTAAGCAAAATCTATTGCATACATACGAATATAATTTATAGCTTTAGATATCAAACTGCATATGCAAGTAACTCCAATTCATATGAGAGGAAGTTCAAAATATCCATGGTATATGTTCGTCCATCACAAACATGGATAATCACAAACATGGACAGGTTCACCACAGGCATGGAGCACTGTCAAGCCCTTGAAAGGCTGAAGATTAGGCCGTCCTAGTTCCTGCCTTCCCACTCAGCAATAGTAATAAAAGCTGTCAAATCCCTTCCCATTTAAAGCTCTATATCTTAAATCAGTAATGTATAAATCTTTAGAAAGAAGGGAATTAAAATATATATACTCTATTTTAGAGATGGGAAAGCTAAGACAGAATATTAAATGATTTTTCCTGAGCCACAGAAAACGTGTTGGTCAGTAAATACTCCTGACTCATACTTGAGTGAGTATGTATTTTCAGTGTCCTCTACATAGTCCATATTGTCAACTTTGTTCAAGTCTATAAGATTATTTTAGCTTGGGGCCTCCCTGGTGGCGCAAGGGGTTAAGCACAGCACTATGAAGCAATCTAAAGCCTCTGCAGCAGAGTTCAATCCCTGGCCGCCAGGGAGCAACCCACAAGGTGCAGCAGACCTCTCCTGTCTTGCCGGCTTCTCCCCTCGGCAGTGTATTTCAGTCAATCTGCCTGTTCTGTTCCGCATTCGTCTCTGGTGAATCCTCTAACACCCCTGTATCTCTGGCCTGTACCCCAGCTCTTGTATGCATAAATAAATAAATCTTTTAAAAAAAAGATTATTTCAGCTTTATAGATATTGACTTTACTACATAATCTGGACTGGTGTCTCAATGCATAAGACCTAAAAGAGGACTGACAGTATTTTCTAATAGACCCTGGCTCAAGTAAGAACTTTTATTTCCAAAGAAGTAAACATACCTCTACAAAACATAATTTTTCTCAGATAAAAATACTGGTACTTTACCTATGTTTACAGTACCATCACCCACAATAGCCAAAAAACAGAAGCAACCCAAATGTCCACCAACAGATAAATAGATAAATAAAATGTATAGACATATGATGGAATATTATTCAGTCTTTAAAAAGGAAATTCCAAGACATGAGAGATGAACTTTAGGACTTACACTAAATAAACCAGTCATAAAAAGACAGATACTTTATGATTCCATTTATTTGAGTTATCTAGAGTAGTCAAATTCAGAGAAACAGATAGTAAAATGGAACTTCCAGGAGACAGGAGGAAGGGAAAATGAGGAGCTGTTTAATTCGTATAGTTTTAGGGTTTTTTTTTTTTAATTTAAAATTTTTTTAAAGTACTTTAAAAAAAATTTTTTTTTAAAGATTTATTTATACAAGAGCCGGGGTACAGGCCAGATGTATGGGAGTGTGAGAGGATTCACCAGAGACAGAGTGGGGAACAGACAGGCAGATTGGCTGAAATGCACTGCTGAGGGGAGCAGTGGGTGAGACAGGAGAGGTCTGCTGCGCCATGTGGGATCCTCGCCGGCTGGCCGGGATTGAACCGGCTCTGCAGAGGCTGCGGACAGCTTCACAGCACGGTGCTCAACCTCCTGCGCCTCCAGAAGAGGCCCTAAAATTTTTTTTAAAGATTAATTTATTTAAACAAGAACCAGAGTATAGGCCAGATGTGTGGGAGGGTGAGAGGATTCACCAGAGAAAGTGGAGAACAGGACAGGCAGATCAACTGAAATACACTACTGAGGGGAGCAGGGTGATAGTCAGGAGAGATCTGCTGTGCCATGGTGGGTAGCTCCCTGGCTGGGGATCAAACCCATGCTGCAGTGGCTGCGGTGAGCTTCATACGTTGCGTCTTAACCTCTTGAGCCACCAGGGAGGCCCTAGTTTTAGTTTTGTAAGAGGGAAAAGTTCTACAGATTGGTTGCTCACCAATATGAGAACAACGTAACACTACACTACTGAATTTGGCACTTAAAAATGGTTAATGGCAAATGTTATCTCATGCACATTTTACCACAATTTTTAAAAAGCAAACAAAAAATGGTACTTACCTCATTATGGAAAAGGTTTAATATTTATAAAACATTTCCTTATGGCTTCAGTAACTGATAGGAACAGGTTCTCTGGTCACTATTAAGGGAAATCAAAGAATTTTCTGTGATGTTTTTGTTAATCAGCATAAACTGCTTAAAAAATGCTTTTATGCCATTGTCCTAGGCTTCAAATAACATTCAGAAATTAAAAATTGCTATTCTGTGTTCTAAAAATTACAATTAGACAATAAGGTAGATTCTGCCTTCCTACCATGTTGATGCTAACACTACTATATATATATATATATTAAGATTTATTTATTTATGCATATAAGAGCTGGCGTATAGGCATATAAGAGCTGGCGTATAGATGCAGGGGGGCGGAGGGGGTGAGAGGGGTGACAGAGTGGGGAACAGAACAGACAGCTGAGTGAAATACACTGCTGAGAGGAGCAAGGGGCAAGAAAGGAGAGGTCTGCCACACCATGAGGGTTGCTCTCTGGCTGGCCAAGGATCGAACTCATGCTGCAGAGGCTGTGGGTTACTTCATAGTGCAGTGCTTAACCCCTTGCGCCACCAGGGAGGCCCAACACTGCTATATTTTTGTTTTATCTTTCCCTTAATTATCCAGAAACAGGATAAACGCACATCATTCCAACTAATGTTTTTACACATTTGAAGCCAGAACATATAGGCTATGGAAAGCATTATCAATTTATATTTGCATTCAATTTCTAGATTTTTTAAGTGTCTATAGTTCTATCCATGGTTACAACTTCTTTTTTCAATAAAGTTACACAGGACGTTCAATTAAAAGCAACTTAAAAATAAACACTGGCTCTAAAATAGGGTTACAGATAAATGCCAGGGTTGATTACTTCCTATCTTCCTATTCTTCCACTGGCTATTGATCAAGAGGAGCTGGAACTCAGCTGGGGATGAGTTTCATGTGCACCTTAACTCTCTGTGCTTTCCTTTCTCAGTGTCCTTAATGACAGGTCTGAGTAGCAGGGTTTTTCACACTTTACAGTCTGCATAGTTAATCTAATATAACTTATCAGTAGAAGATGACCTAAATAAATCTAAAAGTTCAGGGTAGAAATCCATTTATTTGTTTTAAAATGTTCATTACTGTATCCGTTTTATGATGTTATAAACCCATTTAATCTTGTCATATGTGAAGGAATTAAGAATTCTGGTTAGAGCCCATCAAGACACTGAATCTGTAACAACTATCTCAATAGAGGTAAAGCATCGTTTCTGATTTTCCAAAGTCATGTTCTTTCCTGATCCAAGTTATTGAGAGGCATAAGGGTGGCTTAGTATGTATACAAAGATTCATTGATAGATGGCTCTCCTCCATACATCAAGGATACCCCTGGTACAAATCTTAAACATCACACAGTTCCAAAGTCCCGAATTGATTTGCCTTAAAATTAGTCCAGAGAAAGAATTTTATGTGTTTTAGTAATCTACTTCCTTCCCACCTCCCTAGGCTCACATAGAGAACCTAGCATATAGTAGATACTTATTAAATGACTATTGACTGAATGAAAGAAACTAACTTTAGATTTAATATGACAACATATATTGGTTAACATACATGGGACGGATGTTCCTTCAGGATGACAAAAGAAGTGAGACACAAACATTTGCCACTCATAGAATTTTTTGTCATTTTAAATAGTGCTCAATGTACATTTCGGGTTTTTTGTTTTGTTTTGTTTTTGTTTTATTTTTGTGGGACCCTCACCTGTGACCGGGGATCGAACTGGCGCTGCAGAGGCTGCAGGCAGCCTCGCAACCCAGTGCTCAACCGCTGCCCCACCAGGGGAGACTCTTCAATGTACATTTCCAACGAAATATCTTTAGAATTGAAGGTGGTAATTATGCCATTCAATAAGAGTTTAAATGGCATTGCCATTCTTTGAAAGGAAAGGGCCCTCACAGAAATATCAATCGTAGATCTTTGGTGTGAGGTTTGGGGGAATTTGGGGAGCCCAGGAAACCAATATAATGGAAATTAAACGTCAGTTTCACCAACTTATTTCAAAAGTATTTGAAAAAGGCTAATGTAGATTTCTCCATAAACCAGCTAAGCAATTTGTCAGTATAGGATTAAATGCAGAATATTTTTCAAAGGCAAAACACAAAAACACAGGCTCAAATTGCAGCTGACCTTGAGTTAAGAAAAGGCTGGAAAACAGTTTCTGAAATTTGGTTATTTCTAAATATACTCCCTCACCAAGTTACATCATATGGAAATAAAGCAGTTTTGTAAAAAAAAAAAAAAAAATCGCCATGTGAATATTTATCTTTAAGCTAATTTGTTTTCCCAGCAGTGCAGCAGAGTAAAAATCAAAGTCTATGGCAAATGGAAAGCTTCCTAAAATATATAAGTAAATGCAACTAATTGAAAATATGTATTTCTGTTTGTGTTAAAATACTGAAATATACGTCAAGAATAGCAAAGATAAAAATGCTCTTTCCAGAACTTAATTTCTGAAATTTAGCTGTTTTTACACAAGTTTCAATTAACATAAGCATTTTTTTAAAACGGCAGAATAAGTAAATTATATTTGCAAGAATATAACCACTGAATCGCTACCCCACACACGCACAAAGTTCCAAGAACAAGAACAAAACGTGCATATATCCTCATTGCAAAACAATTTTTTAACACGAGAGCAAATTGCTATTTCCTTACCTCAAGTGCAGAGGATTGCAGTGGAGCCAGCCGTTTGGTTATCAGAAAACGGAAGGGGCGTCTCGCTTGCTGGTTTTTTTCCCCCTAAAAAACGCAGCAGCATGCATGCACCCTGCTCCATCCACTCCCCGTCTTGATCCCCTGGAAAAATCGCTGCCCGCAAAGTGAGAGCCTGAAGCAGGGGACCGTCCCCGGAGGCTCCCCTCCCTTTCGGTGACGCCCCACTTCCTGTCAGGCTACAGCTCCCAAGAAGCTCGGTTTTGTAGTTTCCAGCCCACCTCCAAAAGCCATTTTTTTTTTTTTTTTGCTTTCTTCCCCAAAGCAACAACTTTTAATCATTCCCGTGACGGACCTACCCAAACAATTCCCCAGCGAGGCGCGCGATGGGCGTCCCAGATGGTGCCCAGGCCAGGCCCGCGGGACGACTCCTGCCCCCCGCGCTGCCCCTGCTCCCGACGGGTCTGCTGCTCTTCGTGGCCCTGAAATGGCCAGTGAGGTTCTGCCCGCGTTGCAACCGCGCTGCGGCCGCTGGGATGACCTGGAAGCGAAGGGGACTGGTAGGAGCTCGAGTTTTGTGGGATCAGCAAAAAGGGGTTGTCCGCGCAACTGCATTTATCAAACCTCAGTTCAAACACGGTCTCCCAGTAGCCCTGTTGAAAGGGTTTCTTTTAGGGGCCTCCCTGGTGGCGCAGGGGTTAAGATGCAACCTATGAAGCTGTCAGCAGCCTCTGCAGTGCAAGTTTGAGCCGCAGCCGGCCAGGGAGTTACCCACATGGTGCGGCAGACCTCTCCTGACTCGCCCACTGCTCCCTTTAGCAGTGTATTTCAGTCACTCTGCCTGTTCTGCTCCCCACTCTGTTGCTGGCGAATCTTCTCACACACACGCATCCCCACCTCTGGCCTGTACCCCAGCTCTTGTATGCATAAATAAATTAATCTTAAAACAATAATAATATGGGGCCTCTCTGGTGGCTCAAGGGTTAAGACGCAATCTATGAAGCTGTCAGCAGACCTCTCCAGCCTCTGCATCAAGAGTTCGATCCCCTGCCAGGAAGCTACTCACATGGAGCAGCATACCTCTCCTGACTCCCAGCTGCTCCCCTCAGCAGTGTACTTGGGTCAATCTGCCTGTTTTGTTCCCCACTCTGTCTCTGGTGAATCCTCTCCCCCACCCCCACCTCTAGCCTGTACCCCAGCTCTTGTATGTATAAATAAATAATCTTTGGAAAAAAAAAAAAGAAAGGGTTTCTTTTAAAACACGTTGCACATTCTCTGGACACACATTTATGGATTGTCTCCTGCCTGGCAGTGCAGAGGGGTAAGGCACTGTTTGGGGGTTGGGGGTGGCGTGGACTACTAGAATTTGGGTGCCCATAGAGTTCACCCAGCAAATGAATCATTTGCGCTTCCTGGGCACTGGCAGCAAGAGAACACGTGGCAGCCTGAATTCCCAAGCACTGCCGCTGGCAACGTAGGATTAACACGATCGGGGGTGGGGGAATGGCAGGGCGCAGGCTCTGGGTGCCAGAGCATCCGGGAACAGCGCGGGTAGGCGGCCCTGGAGGGCGAGAGCGGCCCCTCCAGCTGCCCGCCAGGCCGGCGCTCGGGCTCTCCCTCCAGGTGGCGGAGCACAGTCCGCTCACCCAGCAGCTGTCACTTCCCGCTCCGCCCCGCCCCGCACCTGCTGCCCCGCCCCGCAGCAAGCCCCGCCCAACTCCGCCGTAAGCCCCGCCCAGCGCCGCCGCAAGCCCCGCCCAGCGCCGCCGCGAGCCCCGCCCAGCGCCGCCGCGAGCCCCGCCCAGCGCCCCCAGGCCCCGCCCCCTCCCCGTCCCAGGACGCGTTGCGCGGCCCGGGCCGGAAGTCGGCGAGTTCCCCGGAGTGTGTCTGTGTCCGCCCGTCTCTGCGCGGCGCGCGGCCCGGCGAGCGCTGGGGAGGCGTCACCCTGTCCCCACCACCACCCCGCGGAGCCGCTTCCGAGGGGAGCAGACCCGGCCTCTCGCCGGGCGGAGAAGATGTTGCCCCTGTCCATCAAGGACGATGAGTACAAACCACCCAAGTTCAATCTGCTCGGCAAGATCTCGGGCTGGTTTAGGTGCGGGGGGCCGGGGCTGGGGGGGGGGTGCCCCGCGGAGGGCGAGGCCCAGCCCTGAGGACGCCCCGGGTCCGGGGGGGGAGCGTGGGGTGCCCGCCCGCGCCCTGGGAGGGGAGCTGTGGGCCGGGGGGGTCTTGAATGGGGAGCCCGGGCTCCGGCCCTGACACCCCGTTGATGCGCCCGGCTGTCCCCCGCTTGTGTCCTGCCCAGGTCTATCCTGTCCGACAAGACGTCCCGGAACCTGTTTTTCTTCCTGTGCCTGAATCTTTCTTTCGCTTTTGTGGAACTCCTCTACGGCATCTGGAGCAACTGGTAAGCAAAGGGGAAAGGGCTGGGCGGAAGCGGGGTGGGGGAAAGCTGTTTGCTTAGTGCCACGTAGCTGCTCTCCAGGAGGCTCAGGTCTTGCCAGGCCACCCCCTCAGCTGGTGGCTCCTTTCTCCTGGCCACGGCTGGTGGCCTGGCTGCAGGTCTCAAGATCCAGGGCCCACCTCTTGCATGGTTCTTAGGATAGGGGTCACCCACCACCACTTGGCCCCGCAAGAATGTCGTCATCCCCTATTCGTTTTGGTGGAAAAACTGTTTTGCCTCTGCACACCTTAGCTTTGCTCTCTTTCTTCCAATTGGGAGAAACCTGTTTCTTGCCTCTGTGTGCAAGAGTGTGCCCTGCCTCTCTGGAGGGGAGTGGCATTTGGATTTCACCCTTAGGATTCTCAGAGGGACTCTTTGAGATGTTCTACTTCATTTGTTATTAGGTCTTGGTATGCAGAAGAGGTCTATAAAGGGATATCCGGAGAAATCTGTGTCGTTCTTTTCTTTCTTTAATTTAATTCTGAAACTGTCTCATGATTTTCCTCTGGTCTTGACTGCAGGAGCAAATCCCATGTCTTTTTTTTTTTTTTCAACTTCTGTTTCTTGAGTCATGGTTGTTGATATCACCTTTGGGTTTTGTTGTGTTTTTTTTATTTTATTTTATTTTAAACTGCTTTGGTAGAAGTAAATCTAGAGTAAGGAAAATGAAGTGTTGCTCAGGTACTTACTGCTGAATAATTTACAAAATAATTTGTAAAATTGTTTAGCTCACTGTAAGACCAGACTTTTAGATGTGGTGATTCCTCTTTAAGTCTCATACCCATCGAGGATCTGATCATAGGCAAGACTCAAATTTTTTAATAAAACCTCAGGGTGTTCTTGGAATAGGTCTTGGACCCCAGATTGAGAATCTGTGCCATCTATGCTTTATTTCCTACGAATACTTAGTCTCTGTACTTTAAAATTCATTTTCATAAAGTTGCTGTCCTTGAGCTTTATGAGATTGAACAATGACATTACATAATATTAATAGTTTTGTGATTATACTTATATATGAAAAAGTGGACCTCTTCAATTTAAACATCAATTTAACTTTATTCAAAATATGCAGCAAATTGTAAGGATATAAAAACATGTTACAATATAGTGACGTCCTTACCTATACATTGTAACTATTTTGAGTCCTCTGGGAATCAGATACATGTATCTGAAAACTTTTTTAAATTCTGTAATGTTAACACCCTTCCATGTATTGTACATGTTAAAAAATACTATATTGTCTTATTGGAATAATCTTGCTTTATTATAAATATATTGATAATATATTTTATATTTTCCTCTGAGGTTATGTCTTTTTGGCATATATATTGGCTGTATCAAGACTATTTTGGCTTTCATATGCAGTTTTGCTACTATTACTCTGTTTTGCAATGCATTTCACTGTCATCTTTCATTTCGTGAGTTATGTGAAATATGTTGTTTGGAGGATTTATATTTGAAGGTGGCTAAACCACCTCTTTTGTGGAATGTTAGATATGTAGCAACTCTTTTGATCCAGAGAGATCTGTCATAGAAATTCTGAAAACCGTTGTTTTCCAAGCCTTTTGTCAATATGTATCATTTCATAGGGAAAACAAATGACTTGTTTTTCTGCCCTTAGGTGGTTTCTGCCCTTAGGCGCTCTTTGCCTACCTTTACTGGTTTTTATTGTGCTGTCTTCCAGATTTGAAATCTAGGTTTGAGACAGGTCTCATACCTAGATCATTCAGCAGGTATTTACTTTTCATATCCACATATTCCCCCAAATTAGTTTTTTATCTTGGATTGGGAGTACAAATGTGTTCATATTGAAGTCTTAGCAAATTTAGTAAGTGCTTGAGCCTTTTCATAATCAGGCTTTCTGTGTCTTTAAATAAGACAGAAATTTTTAGTTCTTTTTGTTGATTGGTCAACAGTTTCTTCATATGACTGTTATCTGTCCTGAAGACTTATTTAGAGATTATGTTCTTTGAGTAAATTTCTCATCAGAACTTTTATTTGTCATAGTCAATTCTATGTTAAGTTTTATTCTGTAAAAATTAAATTTCAAGATGTAGGGATGTGACAAGTCAAGAACTTTAATTTTTTTCTTCTAGGGGATTGAAAGTGGATGAAATATTAAATTCTTCTTTTATAGAAGTTAGGAGGAAAATGGTAGGAATAATATATGTGATCTTTCTTTCTAGGATTCTTTTCCATTCAGCTTCTGTTGTCATTTACTTATTGTTGAGTAACTATTTAATCTCAAGGTAATATAGTATAAGAATGTGGTTTTGTATCATGTAATACAAAGCTTGTTTTCAAGTTAAACAAAAAGCCCTAAATAGTGGTTGTTTAAACAAGATAAAGCTTAATTTCCAAGATGGCTGTTAAGAGTTCCAGCCATCTCTAGCAGCAGGATGCCTTTAAATGGTATAAACAATGTCTTTTAAGGAGATTCATCTGGACACTAACATACAGTGCTTTCACTTACGCTTCAGTGGCTATAACTTTATAATGCATTCATGTCTTTATAATGCATTCATGTCTTGCAAATGTCATCTTTGTTCTAGTCAGCCAGGTACTGTGATCAAAGTCAAGGATTCTTTGCTAAGCAAGAAAGGGAATATGTAATATCAAATACCCAGTTAGTGTTCTGTGTTCTTCATTGTCTCATAAATTCTATTTACAGTTGTTTTTACAAATCAGAATCCAAAAAAGATCTACACATAGTACTTGGTTGATAGGTCTTGAAATCTCAATTTACAGGGTCTCTTTTTCCTTTTTGCCTCCAATAGACCTTAAATAAAATCCTTTCCAAATATTTCTTTGCTGTATGTTCTGTTCACATTTATTTATTTTGCTTCAGTGATTATGTCCTTTATGTCCTAAGAAGTTTTCCTTACCAAAGTATCATTAGAGTGGTGTTCTTATAAAAAATTTTTTTTTTTTTTTTTTTTTAAAGATTTTTTTTTTTTTTTTTTTAATAGAGGCATGTTTTATTTATTTATTTGTTTGTTTGTTTGTTTTGTCTACACATGCACTGGGTACAGTCAGAAGCGCGGGAGGGTGAGAGGATTCACCAGAGCCAGAGCGGGGAGCAGAGCAGGCAGAAGGACCGAAGTACACTGCTGAGGGGAGCAGCGGGCGGCAGGAGAGGTCTGCGCGCCATGCGGGACCCTCCTCCGGTGACCGGGGAGCAGCCGGGGATTGAACCGGCGCTACAGAGGCTGCGGGCAGCTTCGCAACCCAGCGCTCAACCGCTGCGCCACCGGGGAGGCCCATTTATAAAAAAATTTTAAAAGCACTTTTTTTTTTAGAAATTGGCAGTGTTTAAAGATGGGAACCTAAAACAGTTAATTTAGCTACCCATTTTTCTTTATCAAGTTACGTTTGGTGTACAGATTATATAACCTTATATATATCTTATGCAACCTTCATAAGGAAACTTTAGGCAGGTGGTTTAAATGGTAATTCATAATCAGAAACATTTGCTAATATTGAAAGTGAGTGATAAATTGTCATTCCTCATCAGAAGTGTTTTGATACAAGACATGTGAGCAGAAAACTAGAAACAGTTTTTCATGTAAGTTTGCCGACATTGTTGCTGTTAAGTAGTTTTCAAATCATGATACCAGGTATAAATGAAAAGATCTCATATCCCAGTGCTTTAAGAAAACACCTTGTCCTACCTCAGAAAAGGGAGTCTTTTTCAGTATATTGCATAATATACTCAAAATAACATTTTAATGCAAATAATATTTATTTAAAATTTAAATAAAAATCTCACTTTGATGAGTATTAAAGTTGCTATGCTATCTAAAGTTGCTATGCTCTCTTAGCTTCTTTAAAAAGGAGCTGGATTGCTATAGTATTCTGAGGTTTATCACTTTTCTCCTATTAAAGCAATATTTGGTTCCATTAAAATAAATATAAAGTTGTTGTGAGAAAAAATAATGTGTATAATAAATAGGCTAGGGCCGTTAAGACAAAAATACCACAAACTGTTAGCTGTAAACAACAAACATTTATTTCCTTGTAGTTCTAGATGCTAAAAGTTTGAGATAAAAAATTTAGCAGGGTTTGTTCCTTTTGAGGTTTAATGGTTATCTTGGCAATCTTTTCATGTTCCTTGGTAGCATCACCTGATCTGTAGCTCACGTGCATATGGTAGTCTCCTGTGTCCATGTCTGTCTCAGAATTTCCCCTTTTTGTAAGACAGTAGTCACATTCCATTAATGACCTACTCAGTAAATTATACCTGCAGTGACCTTATTTGTAAATAAGCTAAGGTACTGGAGATGGAGCACCTTAACTTATGAATTTGGGGGAGAACATAATTCAGCCCATAACAGTGTCTTACTAAATGTTTATATAGATCTATAAATCAGTAAATATTTTTATTTATATTTATTTAGAAAGAATATCCAGCCTTCTGCAATTAATTTATAGTCATTTAAAAATAAACCTATTAAATAGGAAGACTAATATATTTACTGAAATTGACTTTTACTTTGGTTGTGAAATTCCGTAAAGTCAAGACACAATAATGGAAACAGGATGGGCAAAAACTCCATTTGTCAGAAATTATACAACGATACAACCATAACATTTTATCAGAATAGGGAGTTTTCTTAAACCAAAATTTAAAAATTACCATCTTGATTTTTCTTATCATCACATAGAAAACAAAATCATAAATAATGGCTTTTTCAGAGGTTTTATAACTGCAGAGCTATTCTTCAAATGTGTCTCTCATACCTCAAAATATAATAAATTTGGATTATTATTTTCACTGTTAAAAGTTATTAAGGTCCAGGTGTTTTATGGACTTTCATGGTTTTATGGTGAGCTAATTATGCCAGGAGAAATCTTAACAAATTTAGAGAGTTTGATCAATAACAGGACTGTTATTTTGTCCTCAAGTATTAATTTTCTCATTTAGTCTTTTCATTTATTCACTCATTCTCATTCTGCCTTAAGTG